ACTTGCTAAATTAAAAAATGATTTTATTGATATTGATTTAATGTACTATTTGAGTTTATTCTAATATATATAGGAATATTTATATAAATAAGCTTAATTTTTTCACATTTTAAAAAATAATTTTAACTCAAACTTTATCTTTTTATAATCATTTTTAAATTTTTTCTTTTTATATGCTACTAAAATACAGAAAAAAATTGTCCTAAGAACCAAAAGAACTTAAGTTAAATTTTAGTTAATTTTTCAAAGTAATAAACTGATTTTTTTTATTTTTATAATATAAACATATCTTTAACTATCAAAATCAAATGAAACTTAAATTGAATTTTAGTAATTTTTCAAAAAATAACAAAAATTAAACTGATTTTTTTTACTTTTTTAATAGAATATGACTTTAACTATCAAATTGAATGAAACTTTAGTTGAATTTTATTAATTAACAGTCATCTTTTAAATAATAAACTGATTTTTTTACTTTTTATAATAGAAATATACCTTCAACTATTAAAATTAGATGAAATTTAAATTGAATTTTAATCAATATTTTAGAAAATAACAAAAAAATAAACTGATTTTTTTACTTTTATAATATAAAAAAGATAATTTCAAATTATTTGGTAAAAAAAGGTTGATTTTTTATTTTTTATTATTTTTATTTATTATTTTTTATATTTTAGATGATTTTGAAAGATTTTTGAAAAAAAACTTGATCATATTTATTAATTTATTCTTTTTTTTCAAAAATGACAATATTATGATAATGAATATTTAGGATTATTTAAGGGATTTAGAAGAAAAATGGATTATATTTTTATTATTTTACATAGTTTTTTTATTTTTTATTTATATTTTTAAATAGAAAATTAATCAGTGAGTTTTAGTAATATTTATGTTATATTTTTGCAAATTATATTAGGTTTTTATTATTAATAAAATTTTAGTATTTAATAAATTTAATAAATAAAATATATACTTATTTAATCGAATTGATATCAAATTAAAGCTAATTTTAAGCTAATTTATGGTTATTTAAGTTCTAAATTAATGCTGAATGATGCTGAATTGATATCAATTTTAGGTTGATTTATAGTTATTTAAGTTTTGAATTGATGCTGAATGATGCTGAATTGAAATCAATTTTAAGATAATTTATGATTATTTAAGTTCTGAATTGATACTAAATAGTTATATCTGATTAGAGTTAATTAATATATATTAGTATGTATTTATGCTAATCGAAAAAATGGTAAATCAGCTATAAATTATATCAAAATCAGTTTAAAATTAGCTATATGATTTCTAGCTAATTTGGATTATTTTAACTAGTATAAGTCTTAATTCTTTTTTTGAATATGTTTTAATAAATTAATAGTAGAAAATTATGCTAAAGCTCTGTATGTAATATTTTGAATAATCCAGTTTAGTTTAAATTATAAGTTAGAATAATACTTTTGATCATTCTAATTGAATGATATTTTTATTTTTAATTAAAATAATAAGTTTAATTATTTTAATAAATAATATTTTTAATCAATTAAAATAAATTATTTGAAATTTTCAGAATAATCTAAAATTTTTGATTTATTTAGATTTTTTTTTATTTAAATTAGAATCTGAAATAATTCTAAGAATCTTCAAATTAATTTTAATATAATCTGAAACTAAATTATAGTTATTCAGAACTATAATTTACAATTAATTTAAACTATTATTATATAGAATTTATAATTTAAAATAAATTCATATAAAGATTAAATAAAATTATAATATTTATTCAAGAAATCATAGATAAGAATTCATAGTAATGTCAAAAGTTATTCTTAATATATATATAAAAATAAATATATGAATCAATACAATATTATACAATAAGTTTATTATAAATAAAAGGATTGTAAATAAATGCAAAAGATTCATAAATGAATTCAAATAATTTCAAAAATTATGAACTGTTGTAAAAGATAAGCTTTATACTCGATTAATTATATTCTTTATTACAAAAGTTTATTATTCAATAAATAGGTTAAAGTTTATGTTGAGATTTAATAAAAATACAGAGATATTTATATATATTGGTTAATTAATAAAATAAAATGAACTAAATATATTTAATGAAAATAAAATTGAACTATTGCTAGAAAATAAATTTGCTATGTCATATAATTTACAGATCTGCAAATAAAAAAATTAATATGGTTACTAATTGATCTACATAAAGATCTTTAGGAAAATAATATTGACATCATTTTCATTAATTAATTCTTATCAAAATTTTACATATTATACCATTTAGAATTTTATTTATATATATCAAGAATGATTTAGAAGAAAGAATCAAAATAATATCAGCTCTTATCATATTATGCAAATATTGAAAAGAGTTTTTAATGTAAATTTGCTTACTTTAATATAATATATTTTTATAAAATTAATTTAGAAAAATTTTTTAAAAAAATTTTAAATTCATATTTTTCAAGAAAATTTATAGTAAATAAGTAATTTTTATTTTTTTGATTATATAATGAATTATTTAAAGTTACTTATAAGCTAAAAATTTATAATTTTTAAAAAATTTAATATTAAAAAAATTTCATCTTTAACCTTTAATCTTATTAAAATTAAATTTTAACGATATTGATCATAATAGAATATTATAGAATTTATCATGAAGAATAACTTTAATTATAAATTTTATGATTTATTAAGAAATTTTATAACTTTTATTAGTAGTAAAATAATTCAATTAGTTCGCAAACATATAAATTTAAAGAAATTTTTAAAACTTAATTTTAAAATTGAATTATTTAAAAAACTTCTCAATAAACTTAAAATTTCTTCTAATAAATATATATTAAACTATATTTTTCTTATAATTTTATTAAGAAATTAATATTTTATTTAAGTTCGCAGGCAAATTTACTGCTAGACAATCTAAGGGAAAATAAAAGAAAAGCATGGTATAGAGATGAAATGCGAGAAATTCTTTCTGAAGAAGATATAGATAATCATATAACACTTTTGCTTCAGACATTGAAGAAATGATATTTATGGCTTTTACGGATATTAATAAGCACTGGTCAAATAATGAAGTATCGGGATACTAAAAGCCAGTTAAGAACTAAGGCTATATCAGGTTTTGATTCCTTACCTGCTCTTATTTTTCTTATCACTAAATAACAGAGTTCTGATAGGCCTACGAGCTATAACTTTTAATAAATTTCCGATATATTATTAAGGCAAACTATTTATAACTGATTAATTTATCATTATTATAAATATATTAATCATAAAAAATTGGTCTTTTTCCCAGTATAGATAAATAAAGTATTTTTTTTTCGTCATAAAGATATATTATTAATAATTAAAATAAAAATTAGTAAAATCAAATTTTTTTAATCTTTATACTTGCTTTGTTATGAACCTTTAGTCTGACACGGGTTACATAATAAAATCTTACCAAGAAAGTAAATTATTCTAAAATTAAAAAGATGAGATGACGTACCTTTATCGCATTGGATGGGATAAAGTAACGATAAAATTTTTGAAATCTAGTTCCGTTCATATGTTACACAAATATTTTCTTTCCACTTAAAATTCTTTACCACTCCACTTTGTTATACTGTATATAAAGAATGCATTAGCACAACAAAAAACTGAATACCAGTCTTTATTAGAAAACAAAAAGCCGATTTCTAATCACAAATGAATCAGCAAACTAAAAAGATACCTCCACCAGTTCCTTCTAAAAGTATGGACCATTCGTTTTCAAAGACAAAGACAATCCATCCATGTTTAAAGACGCAACTTCAGGTTATTTTACGGTCAAAAAAGAAGGTGCTTTAATGCGTCTTATCTGTTCATCTTTAATCAAGAAAGTTTACAAAGTATCCTTTATGTCACATGATTATAATGTCTAATAATTATCGTTCATTAAACATAAGAAAAAAAAAAATTCTTCACTCGATTGAACATGGTTACATTTGAAAATGGTGAATATTTGATGAAGAAAATGTTGGAATTAACGAAAATAAGAAACGATATGAAGTGCAGTAAATAATTATTTTACACGAAGAAATTAAATTGAAATTTCGTCATATTCCTTCTCGCAAATGAAATGATGAAAATTTCAAACATAATCAAATTATTTAAATCGAAAGTATAATTTATTAGAGAAATAGATTTTTGAAATAATTCTTTTTCTTAGAAATTTATAAGTTACAAGTTTAGGAATTTTTCAAGAAAAATTATGCCATCGTTAGTCCAAGCGGTAAAAGCTTTACGCAAAAAAAAAAAATAGTCTGAATCCGCGGACGAATAAAGGATAATTTTGCGCAGTAATTCGATAATTTTTTTAAAAAATATTGAAAGTCAATAAGAATTGCCACCTCAGTATTCTGTCACGTTATATACGATTTTATAGATGTTCAAAAAAAGTTATAAAGCTTAATGTTTTCATCATGCAGCTTGTTGATGCGACGTGTTTCAGAACTTTTTTTTTTTTTTTATAAAAACAAGATGTTTCACAAGGTTTTAGAACCGCCATAAAAAATTTTAATTTGCGTTGCAATATTTCTTTTTATATCCTTATTGAACATAAAAAATCTTTTTACAAATTCATCCGATAAAAAAATATATATATTTTTTTTAATAAAATATGAAACTCAAGTATTAATGGAATCTGACAAATCAAATGTTTCGGATAAACCGTTGTAATCATTGTAATAGTTACCTTTCTCTATCTTTTGTCATAGGTATCGTTGCGTTTTCGTTGTTTTCCATTAACGTTCGTTCTTTGAACAATAGGAAAAATATGCATGGATTCTTTAAAAAATAATGCCGCGGTAACGATGCGAATTGAATGAATTGCTGCGCCGATTACTACCTTTATCGTTTAATATTTTCTCTTTTCATTATTTATCTAGTCTTCATTTTTATAAATCTCTCTTATTAACGTTGTCATTTCGCTACTAATCCCACTTAATAATAAATTTATATTAATCATGACTCGATTATTGATGCGTGCGTTAAAATCAAATTTTAAAAAATTATCACCTAAAAGTATGTTATATTTAACATATACTGTCATAAGTATTCTTTATTATAATGTAAAACGGCTCAAACGATTTGCAGGTTAAATAATTTTCCGGTTAAAGAAATTATTTTTTTGATCAAAAATCTTGTTCCGCAGGAGATTGCCCAAAATATCTGTTCTTTTAATTAATTCCTAGCGCCAGTATATTTTCTCAATAATTTGGTAAATATAAATTTTTATTATTACGGAAAAAAATATTCATCGATTCAAAAAAAGAAAATTAAAGACATTGATAGGAATACAAGGTTTTTAAAAAAGTAATTATATATACAATAATTATTTTACAACGAGAATTATCGTATTTATAATATTTTGGTTCGTTACATCTAAATTTAAAAAGATATCTACGATAACTAACTGTTAAGTTACATGATTGAAATTCTGAAAGCAATTGTCCAAATTACTTTGTTAAATACAATTTCCATTTCTCTATCTTAAATAATTACAATAAAACAATTTAAAAAAAAATAATCGTTTCGTATTAAAACAATTCAAAAAATCATTGTTTGGTGATAAAACAATATAAAAAATCATTGACTACTTAAATAATCGTAATAAATTTTACATATAAAGAAATAAAAATAAAAAAATAAAAATGAAGATACAGAAATGTTAAGACAAACAATAAATAAGGATCTCTCATTCCCCTAAATCGGAAATCGTTTTATCACTTTCTTCTTCACTTTCATTATCCCAATTCCTTCTTTTCACTTTCCAAAATGAATAATCCTCTTTATATTGATCATTGAAATTATACTTCTTCGAGAATAATGTCCATTTCATATCACATAAAAGGTAAAATTCACGGGTGGAGATTTGACAGTTTTTAAATGCGTCATTTATACCAATTAATTTAGGGCAATTGAAGAAATGATGGATTCGGATTGACTTTTTAATGACTTGGTAACTATGATTTAGTTCTATATCGTCCATTAACCTTTGCGTCACTTTTTTACTGTTTTCATCATAGTATTTATTTTTGTATTGGGTCATTATGTTGTAAAATCGGAGCGAATTTTGATATTTGATGTACAAGTTCTTCTCTACTTTGCTCTGAATTGCTTGTACAATATCGTTCACTACGGTCCTCCGATTGATATCATCATCCATGTTGATTCTTACGTAAAATAATTGCTTGTTATCAAAATAATCCTTTTTCATCTGTCCTAACTTTTCAAGTTCTCGAACGAATTTGTTGTACAAATTGTCTTGATTCATGGTTATTTTTAAGGTTAAAGTGGTTAGAAAAGTTATGGTAGGGAGATAATTGAGGGATTATTATTATTAGAAAAATTGTGGTAGGGAGATCAGGTAGAATTACAATTCAAATCACGGTCATTTTAAAGGGTTATTTATACAATTTTCTACAGTAGCTTTGAGTAACAAGGGGTGAAGTTTTTCCATCGACCTAAACAATCTAGAACTTTTTTTTTCTGGTACGGCTTTAAATCAGGACAATCTATACATTGTTTTTGATACTGTACAATGTAGGCAAAGGAACCGAACCAACCTTGAGAACAATTTTGTGTATGGGAAAAGCCATTCAAGCAAATGATTGCATAATGAAACAAAGTTTTATGTATAAAGAAAAACGCCAACCCCAACGTAGTCAATTTTGCACAAAAACTCCGAGTCGTAATGGTTCAAAATACCTCATCCAGTTATTAACCGGTTATACCAAAGTTGAAAGTGTGACTTAATTTGTTCAAATTTGATAAAAAAAAAAAAAAATGCAACGTGAATTTGGGTTGGGAAAATCTTGAAAGTCTCAAAATGATTCCGAAAATTTTCTCAAGCAAAGAGGTTCGGGTCATCAGGAATTTATTCATGCGTTTTAAGATTTTTAACATCTTTTTACCCGTTTTGGACAAACCGGTTTAACCGACCGTTTTTTGTCTAAAATTGGCTAATCTTTGACCTCCTCTTTGAAATAATTTTTTTTATCGATTTACACAAATTACTAATTTGGGTCAACTGATCGATATTGAATATTCCCAAATAGGGTTTTCCAATATACTAATTATATATTGAATTATAATAAGTTGCATTATTTATATTTATATTTATATTATTATTATTATTTTCTTTAATTAAATGCTCAAAAATATCAAGAGTAGCTTCAAGTTTACCAACATGTTGCAACAAGGAGTGGTGTATTAAAGATGTGATTTTTTGAACGAAAATGTTGTTACATCAGCTGCTTTTTGTTGTACTTAATTTAAATGGAATTTTGTGTCATAACATTGTGCGACTACATGAGAGACTAACCAAATCTGCCATTGTAAAATTTTTTTTTTGTTTACGGTCCCATGTTGTATGCAATAATTTGTTTATTTTGGGTGCAGCGATGATTGCTCAACAACATTGCACTTTTATACATCGAAATCAATCTAATAAATCCAAATGTAGCAATACTTAAACGGAATCATTTAATCTTGCAGTAATACTGCAGAAAAATTATATGCAACAATCTACCATTATTAAAAAAAATTTTTATTTTTAAGAAAAAAAGATTCCACAGGTATCTAAATATCCTCCGCAGAATTGGCACTTTTTTTTTTCGCCCTATAATGTCGCTGTGAGATTGAAAGAATTTTTAATGAGTGAAATCACGAATCTCTTTTTCGTTCTTTATCTTTTTTCCATTTTTAAATTTTTCGTGTTACATTATTTTTTTTTTTTGACGTGGTTATTGATGCAAATAGATCATCGATCATGTATGTGCCAAACTTTAATTCTCGCGTAATGTGTTTTTTTTCTCTATTCATGAAATTCGGGTACTTTTTATTTTTTCTTCGTTGAACTGGACGAGCTTCGAGAAATGGAAGCTTTACAAGAAACCTAAACTTCATTATCGAAAAAATTGCTGAAATATTAAAATGGTGAATACGTGATTTTTTTTTTTGGTTTTTTTTTTTTTGTTTTGAATTTTAAAAATTATTTACATTGAATTCGTGCGTGTATTGAATTAACTGAATGAACCGTTAAAGATTCTTTAGAATTAAATAACAAATCTCATCATAAAACAACTGTAATTTCTAGAACAAAAGATCTATGAATCCACAAGATCATGTATTGTGATTATTTAAATTGATGATTCAATTTGAGGTCACAAAATTTGACATTTTGTGAATGATATTTTTGGGATTTGGCTTTAAAAGCGCGAATCAATTATGCTTTTAGAAATATGTATTTTTTTACTATATTAATAAAACGTTCAGCTTTTTTTTTTTAATATTGGGTCGGCCGTGATTACAAGTTTCAATATAACTACCTTTAACGGAAACCTTCGCCATTAGGTCTCGCTTAAGAATTGGAATCGAAACTCGGTAAATCGCGCCAAATCGGAAATCGACTTAAAACAATTTATGTCCCAAACTTGACAAATCGTTTAGCTATAACGATTTTTCATTTAATTCAATAAATCGACAAAAATCCATTGACTAATAAAATGATGTTACAACAAATGACGAAAACTTGAAGCTTTGACGACAAAAAAAAGATCAAATGTTCGATAAAGAATAAATGTCTGGTATGTATAAATCAAATCTAATTTGAGCAGATCTCGTCATTTCTTGTTTGATGGAAATCTTGAAATTTTTAGATTTGTTCGAAAAATGAGAACGAAAAGATTATTTAATGTTTTACTTTGATCAACAATATTAATTTCCTTGAATTTCAATATCTATTTAGAAAATAACACTATCTCCTCCTATAATACCAAAGCTATTCTTTATGGTTATTTTTTACCACACTCTTCTCGTATAGAAAATATGCATCAAGACGGTATATATTCTGTGAATCAAGATCTAGAATCTTGCACAGAACTTGGATAATTTTGTTACAATAACTAAATGCTGTAATTCTTTATAATAATTTGCAACAAATTCATCATGCTTGACATGCATATAGCGCGGTCGTAATACTTGACCAATCGATTAATATCGATTTTGCTTATGCAACTTCGGTCTTAGAAACGACTCCAATCCCGGTCCCACGACGCTTGCATGCGAATCAGTATAGTACGAAAGAAAGGGAACGATAATGTTTTATTAAACTGGAATTTTAATACAATTTTGAAGATCAAAGACGTATGTATTAAACAAAATTACGATATCATTATGTCGAAAAATTGTAATATTTTTGTTCTTTATAATTTTTTTATATATTAATAAAGCTAATAAGGAAAAAATCTTTAAATCTTTTCTCATCTATATACTTTTAATTGCTATTATGCTAAGTACTTCACGTAAACTCTTTCGAAAAAACAACCTTAATGAAGTATTTACGCTTAACCGATCAAAAGTCATGAGTATTAATATTACAGCTTCTTACAAAAGGTAACATTCTTGAAAACTTAGATGGTTTGGTTTATAATGAATATATTTTTCTTTTTAATCATTATTTTTGTTTTTCAAACGAAAAAGAATAATATTTCTTGAACGAAATGATATTTGTGGTACAAGAATTTTTTTTATTTAGTTATTGATTGGTTCATGCAAAACAAAACAAAAAAAATCATTAATAGTATCCTTTATTCTGCATTATGTTTTGAATGGCGACGTCATCAGCCTAATCAATTTTTGGGACAAGCTTCCATTCACCCGCCGGTCCGAAATCATGATTGGCCAAAAGTGTTTCATGTGATTGAAATCGTTTTACGACAATCCAATGCTTATTTTATTGAGCAGGAAATATGAAGAGCGAGTACAAGTAAGTATATTAGTGTTGTTTAGAAGCTATTAAAAGTTGCAAACTAAATAGCAAAATTTTTTTGTTAAATTAATCTATCCATACTAGGAATGATCAATAACGGTTGTGTACAACTGAAAAGATATTTTATTTTGTAAATCGTTGGAATTGAGTTTTACAAGGTTAGGATTTCCCGTTGAAATTCAAAGAAAAAATTCATTTCTAATATCGAAATTCATTATTGAAAATGTTATCCCTACTTCTTGATTTCCCCTACGAAGTGATTATATTATTTTCCGATTAATTGTATGAAATTAATTTTTTGTTTAGGAATCGGCAATGAATCATTGTCGATCGTTTTTAGATTCTTAGTCAGTATTTCTTTTTCTAACTCATTTTATTTTATTTTTTATTTTAATTTAGGAACGTTTTTCGGAGGATGGATGAGGTATTTGAAATCATTTTATTTAGGTATCGAATAATTAATTTTTATTTGCAAGCATATATCCTTACCTAACAGAATCTTTATCAATTTCAAACTATACAACACCTCCAAATATATTGCGAAAGGTCAAATCTAAGGTTGCGGGGAATCCCATTTTGGCAAAAGTCGAACCTTTCGATTTCGTTGATTTCGACGAGTTTCAACGACGAGATTTCGAAGGGCTTCGACGAATGCCTTTTGAAACCTCCGGGTTTTGCACGGCATCCTTAAATCACTATATGATGTCAGTGGATTCGATGCTAAGATCTCTGAAATGATGTAATTTTTAACAATGTAAAAAAATTGACACTTACCCTAGATTATAGTATTCTTAATTGAAATATATTATTTTTTCCTTTATTTATTTTTAATAATGTACATTTTTTATTTTTTTCGACTTCTTTATACTCAGGCACAAAAAAAAAAAAAAAAAAAATAATAAAATAAAAATAAAACGCGACTAAATTAGACAATATATTATGAATTAAATTAAATCATACTGTATGTAAAAACTTTCCATATTTTATTCATTTGAATCACGTGTTATATTAAGACATAAAATTCAGTTAACCATAAAATCTTAACTCTAGCCAAATTCTTAATTTCGGCCGGAGTTAAGTTCGACTATAATATGGGACCTTTGCAATAGAAAAGGGGGAAACGGCTGGAAAAAATAAAAATTGAGTTAATGCTAAATCTGAACATATTTTGACTTAAAAATCATATTTGGCATATAAAAGTAAAATTGATTTTTTCCGGCAGTTTCCCCCCTTTCTATTGCAAAGGTCCCATATCCGTTCAAAAAAAAAAAAAGTTTACCGGTTAAATAAAAACAAACCTTGTTTGATGGTGGTGTAATTTCATCCTTTTATTTCCTGTAAACAGTTTGTAAAATTAAGCTGCCCCTAGAGTTAAATATTCCGTATTCCGTAAGTCATGAGACGCTTATTCGGAATACTACATTAAGTTATGTACTTCACAGATTAGTTTTCAAAGTATTAAATAAAAAATTACAATATATTATATACGTACGTACGATAAAATACAAATATTTGATACACTTACAACAGAATCGGACGTAAAGTGTACCAATATTTTCTTAATTTCCTCGTATCAGGAATAAAAACCTCTCTAGATGCACCCTTTCAAAATGCACACATTATATATTTTCTCTCTAGATGCATGTTCTCATTCAGTCTAAAGCATATTGTGATCATATTCAATTTTCACTTTAAATGCACACCGCTTTAATTGCACAATTTTTCAAGTTTTCACTATGATCACAAGGGGGTGCATTTATAGGGATTTGAATATATTTATTAACTAATGTGGCGCCATTTCCTCGTTATTAGAACATAATATCAACGATAATAACGGGTAAAATAAATATATGAAACTAAAAGATAAAAAATATAAAAGTGTGGAAAAAAATGAAAACGAAAAAAAGCGAAATTATTAATAATAATAAAATACACGCGATTACTTCCGAAGTAAGTCGGGAAAAACCACTGCGAACCAACCCACTTAAAAATAAAATTAAAAAATAAAAAAAAATATTTAATGAATACTTTGCTTACGTAAATAGAAACGATCATAACCAAAAGAAACCCCTCAAAAAGTGAAAAAAAACCTCACTACGAAAATAAAAAAAAATGAAAAACTGAAAAACCAAATCATCTATCGAACGCGAAACAAAAAACTACCAACCCAAAACTAAAATGAAACCTATTATTGCAGCAAAGGCAGCAAAACTCCAAAAAAAAAAAAAAGAAATTATTCGATCGCTGCGGACTGAAGCGAACGCCTTATTTTCCGAGGTAAAAATAAGAAAAGTATAAAGCTATTAGAACGTCGAAAATGTATAAATCTTATTTGGACAACAAACTAAATTTATTGGTAAGTCAATCAGCGCAGAAGTAGTATATAATAATCTTCTTTATGCTAATTAAGTTAAAGGTAACTGGAATAAACAAATTCAAAAGGATATTTGTGAATACGACCAAGCCAAACAAAGCAATACCTTTCTTGTCGGTGAATTCCTGAATTTTGTTTTTTTGTAAAGTTAACACCCATATGATAAATAAACTCGTCTACTATAAGCATTTGCGCATCCATCAATGTGATTGGCCAGTGATTGAAGTGATGCTCAAGTATCACGACCAATTGATCTCTTGCTTTATTTATCGAGCTTTAAGATGGTTCAAAAAAAGAGAACTGAACCAACTTTTGTAAATTTTGGTTACAACTACTCATTTCTCGTATTACTATGCTAAACGTGATCTCGAGGCCATGCAATTCGTCCTTGTTCTAAATCTAATATTGCTCTAAAAATCGATCATACTAATCCTTGGCTTATTCCGAGTGTTTCTAATACTTGTATTCCAGTTTCATGCAGGTGTTGCAATAGAGGCGTCTATGGTAAAGGCTTGATGTCTAATCGAGTCATAATAGTACGAAAAGTTGTAAGAGTTATACGAAAGTGACGCTTAAAGAATTATAACCTAAATATGGGAAAACATCAGTCCATAACCCTTCAGTTTTAGGTTGCAATCTTATATTGGATGGAAAAAACACTTGAAAAAATTAAATTTGTTGTGGTAAGGACAGTTAAAAGATGAATATCTTGACGTCTTTTATTATTTATGATGGCTTCTAGTATAAAAAATAATATAATTATTGATTTTTGTCGGCGTTGCAGATCTAAAGTGTAAAAGTGTAAAATGGAAAGTGAAAGAGTAAGGCGTATGAGCAATCTTTGTATACTCCATTTTTTTCCACTTTGGTAGTTCTAAAGTAAAAAAAAGATGTTCCGTAGCTCCAGGTCTTTTTGACTTGAATGATCATCACACATTGCCTTTTTAGTCAATCTTAGGGAGACACTTGAGAACGATAACATTTGACAATGCTCAAATTAAGACATTGATTTTAAGACATTAGATTCAGGAGCCAACATATGATTTTAAACTTGACCCCTTGTTAAAAGGTGGATTGAAAATATACTTCATTTTAAATCATTATATTGCTTATAAGTTTTCGATCTAAACAATACAAAGAAAAAGAAAAATAATGGTCAAGACATATCCTTTTTTTTTAAAAAAAAAAGCGATAAGATAAAAAATTATGAATAATGAAAGTAAAAAGGAAATAATTAAGCGATCAGTCAAACTCTCTTTTCTTATAAAAAGGCTGTGATTTTGCTTGCTCTGAGGTAACAAATCATCAATACAAAAAATACATACATTTATAAAGAATAAATTTTTCATCATGAAATTTTCTGGAATTCTTCTATTGGTCGTTCTCTCCACAGTAAATGCTTTACCACATCCTGGATATCCAATTGCTGAATCATACCCAATTGCATCATATCCAATTGCCGAAAGATC